ATCATGTCTTTGTCAGTGGGCAAACGTACAAAATCAGCAGGGGATCAAATACTTTTTTCCCTCCCCGATAGAGGTGGATAGGGGAATTTTGGGTGGTGAGGTGGATGAGGGAGATGAGGGGGATAGGTATATGGGTGGATGAGGGGAGAGGTTATAGGGGGAGAGAATATGAGGGGATGGATTATGAGGGGGATGGGTATTGAGGGGATGAGGATTGGGTGGGTGAGGTTATGAGGGGATGAGGGGAAGAGGGGGGGTGGGTGGATGAGGGGGGATGAGGTGGGGGGAGGTATATAGGGGAGAGGTTATAGGTTGGGTAGGGGGGTGAGGTATATGATGGGGAAAATAATTTAGGTGGATGGGTTTGAGGTGGATTTTTGAGGTGGATAGGTATAGAGGGGATGAGGGGGATGAGGGGATGAGTATTGAGGTGGATGAGGTGGATTGAGGTGGATGAGGTATTTTGAGGTGGATGAGGTGGATGAGGTATATGAGGTGGATGAGGTGGATGAGGTAATGAGGTGGATGAGATATAGGGAGGTGATGAGGGATGAGGTATATGAGGTGGATGAGGTATATGAGTGGATGAGGTGGATGAGGTGATAGGAAATATGAGGTGGATGAGGTGGATGAGGTGTTATAGGTGGATGAGGTGGATGGGGTGGATGAGGTATATGAGGTGTATGAGGTATATGAGGTGAATGAGGTGATGAGGTGGATGAGATTTTTTTTGAGGGGATGGGGTTTTATGAGGTGGATTGAGGTAATGAGGTGGATGGGTGGTGAGGTATATGAGTGGATGAGGTGGATGAGGTATATGAGGGGATGAGGTGGATGAGATATATGAGGGGATGAGTGGATGGGTTATTTGAGGTATATGAGTTGGATGAGGTATTGAGGGATGAGGTATATGAGGTGGATGAGGGGGGATGAGGTAATTTTGATAACCAGGTGGCAATCGCATCTCTGCATGTCTGGCAGACATATCAGTATGGATGACGGATCACCACCTCAAGCTGAACCCTGGCAAGACGGACGCTCTTCCTCCCGGGGAAGGACTGCCCTGCCCTCTCAAGAAAGCACATATGCAGGGCCGTCTGAAGTTTTGCCAATGAACATCTGAATGATTCAGAGGAGAACTGGGTGAAAGTGTTGTGGTCAGATGAGACCAAAATCGAGCTCTTTGGCATCAACTCAACTCGCCGTGTTGGAGCAGGAGGGAATGCTGCCTATGACCCCAAGAACACCATCCCCACCGTCAAACATGGAGGTGGAAACATTATGCTTTGGGGGTGTTTTTCTGCTAAGGGGACAGGACAACTTCACCGCATCAAAGGGACGATGGATGGGGCCATGTACCGTCAAATCTTGGGTGAGAACCTCCTTCCCTCAGCCAGGGCATTGAATTTGGGTCTTGGATGGGTATTCCAGCATGACAATGACCCAAAACACACGGCCAAGGCAACAAAGGAGTGGCTCAAGAAGAAGCACATTAAGGTCCTGGAGTGGCCTCTCAGGCTCCCCCTTTCCCCTGCGGAAGCATAGTTCCCCCCTAGCCCAGTCAAAAATGTTCGCTGCTCTGGCACCCCAATGGTGGAACAAGCTCCCTCACGATGCCAGGACAGCGGAGTCACTCACCACCTTCCGGAGACATTTGAAACCCCACCTCTTTAAGGAATACCTGGGGTAGGATAATAAATCATTTTACCCCCCCCCCCCCCCCCCCCAAAAAATAAATAAATAAATAAATAAATAAAAAAAAAATAAATAATATATATTTGGAAAGTGGTTATCCCACTGGCTATAGGGTGAATGCACCAATTTGTAAGTCGCTCTGGATAAGAGCGTCTGCTAAATGACATAAATGTGCCCTTGAGCAAGGCACTTAACCCTAATTGCTCCTGTAAGTCACTCTGGATAAGAGCGTCTGCTAAATGACTAAAATGTAAATGTAAATATGGATGAGTTGGATGAGGTGGATGAGGTATATGAGGTGGATGAGGTGGATGAGGTATATGAGGTGGATGAGGTGGATGAGGTATATGAGGTGGATGAGGTGGATGAGGTGGATGAGGTGGATGAGGTGGATGAGGTATATGAGGTGGATGAGGTGGATGAGGTATACGAGGTGGATGAGGTGGATGAGATATATGAGGTGGATGAGGTGGATGAGGTATATGAGGTGGATGAGGTGGATGATGTATATGAGGTGGATGAGGTGGATGAGATATATGAGGTGGATGAGGTATATGAGGTATATGAGTTGGATGAGGTGGATGAGGTATGAGGTGGATGAGTTGGATGAGGTGGATGAGGTATATGAGGTGGATGAGGTGGATGAGGTGGATGAGGTATATGAGGTGGATGAGGTATATGAGGTGGATGTGGTATATGAGGTGGATGAGTTGGATGAGTATGAGGTGGATGAGGTATATGAGGTATATGAGGTATATGAGTTGGATGAGGTGGATGAGGTATATGAGGTGGATGAGGTGGATGAGGTATATGAGGTGGATAAGGTGGATGAGGTATATGAGGTGGATGAGGTGGATGGTGCGGTATCTGCGCGTGGTTCTGGGTGGCTGCGGTGCTGGGTGGGTGCTGGTGGACGTGGTGATCCTGCGGTGGATGGGGTGGTGAGGTATTGAGGTGGGTCTATGAGTTGGATGGTGGTGACGGTGGGATGGGTCTCTGCGGTGGCTGAGTTGGTTCTGAGGTGGATGAGGTGGATGTGGTGGAGAGGGTTATGAGGTGGATGCAGTCTCTTACCATTTCCGGCGACCTTCTCCCTTACCCTCACCTCGCTCCTCAACTCATCCTTGACCGCTGGCTCTGTCCCTTCCGTCTTCAAGAGAGCGAGAGTTGCACCCCTTCTCAAAAAACCTACACTCGATCCCTCCGATGTCAACAACTACAGACCAGTATCCCTTCTTTCTTTTCTCTCCAAAACTCTTGAGCATGCCGTCTTTAGCCAACTCTCTTGCTATCTCTCTCTGAATGACCTTCTTGATCCAAACCAGTCAGGTTTCAAGACTGGTCATTCAACTGAGACTGCTCTTCTCTGTGTCACGGAGGCTCTCCGCACTGCTAAAGCTAACTCTCCTCTGCTCTTGTCCTTCTAGACCTGTCTGCTGCCTTTGATACTGTGAACCATCAGATCCTCCTCTCCACCCTCTCCGAGTTGGGCATCTCCGGCGCGACTCACTCTTGGATTGCGTCCTACCTGACAGGTCGCTCCTACCAGGTGGCGTGGCAAGAATCTGTCTCCGCACCACGTGCTCTCACCACTGGTGTCCCCCAGGGCTCAGTTCTAGGCCCTCTCCTATTCTCGCTATACACCAAGTCACTTGGCTCTGTCATATCCTCACATGGCCTCTCCTATCATTGCTACGCTGACGATACACAACTAATCTTCTCCTTTCCCCCTTCTGATAACCAGGTGGCGAATTGCATCTCTGCATGTCTGGCAGACATATCAGTGTGGATGACGGATCACCACCTCAAGCTGAACCTCGGCAAGACGGAGCTGCTCTTCCTCCCGGGGAAGGACTGCCCGTTCCATGATCTCGCCATCACGGTTGACAACTCCGTTGTGTCCTCCTCCCAGAGTGCAAAGAGCCTTGGCGTGACCCTGGACAACACCCTGTCGTTCTCCGCAAACATCAAGGCGGTGACCCGATCCTGTAGGTTCATGCTCTACAACATTCGCAGAGTACGACCCTGCCTTACACAGGAAGCGGCACAGGTCCTAATCCAGGCACTTGTCATCTCCCGTCTGGATTACTGCAACTCGGAGGATGGGACAGAGTACTGGGTGGCGAGGAACAACTGGGTACGTCTCCACACACACACACCACAAAACACACACACCTACCTACCTACTTACCTTGTGGGGACACACAATTCAGTGCCATCCAAAATCCTATTTTCCCTAACTATAAATGGTGGAACAAGCTCCCTCACGACGCCAGGACAGCGGAGTCACTCACCACCTCTTTAAGGAATACCTGGGTTAGGATAAAAGTAATCCTTCTACCCTCCCCCTACCCCACCAAAAAAATAAATAATAATAATAATTTGATATATTGTAAAGTGGTTGTCCCACTGGCTATTATAAGGTGAATGGACCAATTTGTAAGTCGCTCTGGATAAGAGCGTCTGCTAAATGACGAAAATGTAAATGAAAATGTAAAATGTTATATTGAAGAATATGTCAAGAGATACTACTGTCCACTCAGTGTCAGAACCAGAACCATTACATTACAGCATGTTAAGAGATACCACCGTCCACTCAATTCAGTGTAAACTGAAGGTCCTGTGACAGACTGTACTGAAACACACTGCACAGTAACTCTGCATCGGGCTGTTGGACTGCTGTTAGCGAATGTTATGGAAGAATAAACAAGGATTTTGCCTTTTCATTTGTTCAGTAAAACATGGAAATATCAAACTGGTTAAGCAGGTAACTGTTACTGTGCCTTAAGGCTGTTCATCGGTCCTCTTAAGACATTGTTAGGATAATCTGGTTAGTTATGCTCCTGAGCGTTTTTTAGATTGGCCAGCTAGCTAATCTGAGAGCCCAGTCATGATGGTCCCACTCAAAAAATAAATGTATGTATTTGTAGGCTATATTATAATTTTAATCAAGGAATCATTATTATTACAGTGTGGTGTAAATGAAGGCTGTATTATTCATATGATTTTAACCCCATCTTGAATGGGGACCTATCGCAAAAACAGCGTCTTGTAGCTCGCTCAGCCGTCAACAGTCCAATCGACTGCTTAATCAGGGAGATAAGGTTATCGGTCGCCGTTCAGATCTTTGAATTGCAAAAACATACAGTTATTTCTCTACAACTGTGCACAATGCGATGAGAACGCCACGCAGACATTCTGATATTTAGGTTTGAAAAAAAAAAAAAAAAGAAGATGCCTGGTGAGGCGCGGCTACATCAGTGTGCCTCTACTGCAGGCCATCTGAACACCACAACGATTGAGATATGATGTCGGGCTTGAACGTGGCATGCAGCGCCGTTATTGTCCTGTTCGGAGCGGTTTGCAGCGTTTTCATATTCTGTGAGTATCTGATTTATTACGCCGCGATATTACAGTGTGGTTGGCCAGGGATCGACCATGGTGCGCCGGCGGGTGAGAAGAGCGCAGACGGGCAGCCAAATGCGGAAGTTATGCGCGCTATGGTGCTTTCAGACACGCACCTCCTTGGCGCTGTCGGAGGACACTGGTTCGACAAACTGCGAAGGTAATTGATCCTCATGAATAGATCTAACTATGCATTTTGTGAAAATAAATAAATGTATATTTTGCATATACTTTGTGAGCGAGTTTGTATTATAAGGGAATGCATAAGATGCGTACATCCTCGACTCTCCTTATCAGCCAATATCCACGCTGTCTCCAAGATGATTAGAGCAGCAGTCGTAAACAATAACAACAGAGCGGGTAATGCATGGCGCACTGAGCGGACGGTTGACTGACTGTGTGTCGGTCTGTCTCTGTGCCACCCAGAGAATGGCAGATGGAACGGGCTTTCCAGACCGCCCTGACACTGCTCAGGCCCGAGGTCGTTTTTATTCTGGGAGACGTGTTCGACGAGGGGAAGTGGAGCTCTCCAAAGGTACGTGGCCATAAAAGTTCGTTATATAGGGTACTGCGGCGAATTCGGGGGTTGTCTAATTGGGATTCGAACCTACAACTTCGTCTTAGCCATTATGCAAAGAAGTTTGGGTGAGAGTGTCTGCTAAATGACTAAAATGTAAATGTAAGTCCAAACCTGTTGCGGCGTTGATGTTATTCTAGCGTACAAGAGACAAACACTGAACATTGTATGTAACAGCCCTAGACCTACTGTATTTTTTACTATTGTTCCCAACATGTCTATGTAATATTATATTTATCCAACTTGCTCTTATTCCCTCCACAGAACTGGGAGGATGATGTTCATCGTTTCCAGAAGACGTTCAGACATCCCAGTGACACAGAGCTGGTGGTGCTGGTTGGAAACCACGACGTCGGCTTCCACTACGAGTAGGTTTACGTCCATCGGCATTAAGCCGTAGACTCTATACTGTCTCCCAACTTGGCATGCCCATACTTTAAACCTGGCTTAGGAATGTTCTTAAGTCAACGAGGCCTATTCAGAATCTATGTTTTTTTTTGCCTTCTATAGTAGTTCGGGGATTGCAGAATGGCCAAAGCAAACGGTGGAATAGTGAAATGCTTCAAAATGTAGCCTACAGAACCGGCCTAGTACTGTACAGTAGCCTCTGTGTTCTTTAACATTCTTCATACATGATGTATTGTATGTAAATTGTACGTATTGTATGTAAACAGAGATGAAAACAGTTCAACCTTCAAAAGAAGCTTGTAGTAGCCGATGAAAAGTCTCACAAATAATACAAACAGCTTGTTTGTACTTGACTACACTAACCTCTAACCGGCTTGGTTCTCTCTCCTCCTGAAGAATGGACTGGTTCAAGTTACAGCGCTTTGAGAAGGCCTTCAATACCACCTCCACCAGAATGGTCACCAAGAAAGGAGTGAAGTAAGAGTCTCTCCCTCTCTCTCATTTAAGGGGCTTTATTGGCATGGGAAACATATTGCCAAAGCAGGTGAAATAGATAAAACAAAAGTTAAATAAACCATGAAGGCCTGAGTAAACATTACACTCACAAAAGTTGCAAAATAATAAAGACATTTCAAATGTCATATGTCTACATACAGTACCAGTCAAACGTTTGTATACACCCAGGGTTTTTCTTTATTTTTACTATTTTCTATATTGTAGATTAATAGTGAAGACATCAAAACTATGAAATAACACATATGGAATCATGTAGTAACCAAAAAAGTGTTAAACAAATCAAAATATATTTTATATTTGAGATTCTTCAAATAGCCACCCTTTGCCTTGATGACAGCTTTGCACACTCTTGACATTCTCTCAACCAGCTTCACCTGGAATGCTTTTCCAACAGTCTTGAAGGAGTTCCCACATATGCTGAGCACTTGTTGGTTGCTTTTCCTTCACTCTGCGGTCCGACTCATCCCAAACCATCTCAATTGGGTTGAGGTCGGGGGATTGTGGAGGCCAGGTTATCTGATGCAGCACTCCATCACTCTTCTTCTTGGTAAAATAGCCCTTACACAGCCTGGAGGTGTGTTGGGTCATTGTCCTGTTGAAAAATAAATGATAGTCCCACTTAGACCAAACCAGATGGGATGGCGTATCGCTGCAGAATGCTGTGGTAGCCATGCTGGTTAAGTGTGTCTTGAATTCTAAATAAATCACAGACAGTGTCACCAGCAAAGCACCCTCACACCATCACACCTCCTCCTCCATGCTTCATGGTGGGAACTACACATGCGGAGATCGTCCGTTAACCCACACCTAGTCTCACAAAGAACGGCAGTTGGAACCAAAAATCTCAAATTTGGACTCCAGACCAAAGGACAAATTTCCACCAGTCTAATGTCCATTGCTCGTGTTTCTTGGCCCAAGCAGGCCTCTTCTTATTATTGGTGTCCCTTAGTAGTGGTTTCCTTGCAGCAATTCGACCATGAAGGCCTGATTCACACAGTCCCCTCTGAACAGTTGATGTTGAGGTGTGTCTGTGACTTGAACAATTTCTGAGGCTGGTAACTCTAATTAACTTATCCTCTGCAGCAGAGGTAACTCTGGATCTTCCATTCCTGTGGCGGTCCTCATGAGAGCCAGTTTCATCATAGCGCTTGATGGTTTTTGCGACAGCACTTGAAGAAACTTTCAAATTTCATGAAACTTTCCGTATTGACTGACCTTCATGTCTTAAAGTAATGATGGTCTGTCGTTTCTCTTTGCTTATTTGAGCTGTCCTTGCCATAATATGGACGTGGTCTTTTACCAAATAGGGCTATCTTCTGTATACCTTGTCACAGCACAACTGATTGGCTCAAACGCATTAAGGAAAGAAATTCCACAAATGAACTTAAGGCACACCTGTTAATTGAAATGCATTCCAGGTGACTACCTCATGAAGCTGGTTGAGAGAATGCCAAGAGTGTGCAAAGCTGTCATCAAGGCAAAGGGTGGCTATTTGAATATTTTTTTGGTTACTACATGATTCCATATGTGTTATTTCATAGTTTTGATGTCTTCACTATTATTCTACAATGTAAAAAAATTTAAAAAATAAAGAAAAACCCTTGAATGAGTAGGTGTGTCCAAACTTTTGACTGGTAGTGTACAGTGTTGTAATGATGTGCAAATTGTTAAAGTACAAAAGGGAAAATAAATAAACATAAATATAGGTTGTATTTACAATGGCGTTTGTTCTTCACTGGTTGCCCTTTTCATGTGGCAACAGGTCACAAATCTTGCTGCTGTGATGGCACACTGTGGTTTTTCACCCAGTAGATAAGGGAGTTTATCAAAATTGGATTTGTTTTCGAATTCTTTGTGGGTCTGTGTAATCTGAGGGAAATATGTGTCTCTAATGTGGTCATACATTTGGCAGGAGGTTAGGAAGTGCAGCTCAGTTTCCACCTCATTTTGTGGGCAGTGTGCACATAGCCTGTCTTCTCTTGAGAGCCAGGTCTGCCAATGGCGGCCTTTCTCAATAGCAAGGCTATGCTCACTGATTCTGTACATAGTCAAGGTCAGGTATTCTGCCACTGTGTACTCTCTGTTTAGGGCCAAATAGCATTCTAGTTTGCTCAGTTTTTTTGTAAATTCTTTCCAATGTGTCAAGTAATTCTGTTTTTTTTTCTCATGATTTGGTTGGGTCTAATTGTGTTGTTGTCCTGGGGCTCTGTGGGGTCTGTTTGTGAACAGAGCCCCATGACCAGCTTGCTTAGGGGACTCTTCTCCAGGTTCATCTCTCTGTAGGTGATGGCTTTGTTATGGAAGGTTTGGGAATTGCTTCCTTTAAGGTGGTTGTAGAATTTAACGGCTCTTTTCTGGATTTTGATAATTAGCATGTATCCGCCTAATTCTGCTCTGCATGCATTATTTGGTGTTTTACGTTGTACACAGAGGATATCTTTGCAGAATTTTGCATGCAGAGTCTCCATTTGGTGTTTGTCCCATTTTGTGAATTCTTGCTTGGTGAGAGGACCCCAGACCTCACAACCTTAAAGGGCAAAGGGTTCTATAACTGATTCAAGTATTTTTAGCCAGATCCTAATTTGTATGTCGAATTTTACGTTCCTTTTGATGGCATAGAAGGCCCTTCTTGCCTTGTCTCTCAGATCGTTCACAGCTTTGTGGAAGTTACCTGTGGCACTGATGTTTAGGCCGAGGTATGTATCGTTTTTTGTGTGCTCTAGGGCAACGGTGTCTAGATGGAAAAAGTATTTGTGGTGCTGGCAACTGGACCTTTTTTTGGAACACAATTATTTTTGTCTTACTGAGATGTAAACTGATGGAGGGATTGTGCATTCCTGGTGTAAGTTGTTGTTGCCATCCTGTACCTGTCCCGCAGGTGTGGTGTTCGGATGTGCACGTGCTGTTACACGTGGTCTGCCACTGCGATCAGCTGTCCGTCCTGTCTCCCTGTAGCGCTGTCTTAAGCGTCTCACAGTATGGACATTGCAATTTATTGCCCTGGCCACATCTGCAGTCCTCATGTTTTTCCAGAGTCAGTAGAAAGGCCTCTTTAGTGTTTGTTCTTTGTTATAGAGCCAAAAATATTGTAGAAGTGGTTTATCCATACATCTCCGTTTTGGATAGATAACTCTTCATGTTGTTGTTTGTTTAGAGTTTTCCAATTTTCCCAGAAGTGATTCGATTCTATGGATTCTTCAATTCCATTGAGCTGATTTCTGACGTGCTGTTCCTTCTTTTTCCGTAGTGTATTTCTGTATTGTTTTAGTGATTCCCCATAGTGAAAGCGTAGGCTCAGGTTTTCTGGGTCTCTGTGTTTTTGGTTGGATAGGTTTCTCAATTTCTTTCTTGTTTTTGCATTCTCCATCAAACCATTTGTCACTGTTAATTTTCGTAGGTAGCTGAGATGTCAAATATACTGTTTAGGTTTTCTACTGCCAAGTTTACACCTTCACTATTACAGTGAAACATTTTGTCCAGGAAATTGTCTAGAAGGGATTGAATTAGTTGTTTCCTAATTGTTTTTTTGTATGTTTCCACACTACTTTCCTTCTGTATATAGCATTTATTAATATTATTCAGTTCCTTTGGCTTTGATGCCTAATGATTGAGCATAGCTCTGTTCAAGTAATGTGTGATTTTTCTGTGATCTGATAGGGGTGTCAGTGGGCTGACTGTGAACGCTCTGAGAGACTCTGGGTTGAGGTCAGTGATAAAGTAGTCTACAGTACTACTGCCAAGACATGAGCTATAGGTGTACCTACCATAGGAGTCCCCCCGAAGCCTACCATTGACTATGTACATACCCAGCATGGGACAGAGCTGCAGGAGTTGTGACCCGTTTTTGTTGGTTATGTTGTCGTAGTTGTGCCTAGGGGGGCATATGGGGGAGGGAATGCTGTCACCTCCAGGTAGGTGTTTGTCCCCCTGTGTGCTGAGGGTGTCAGGTTCTTGTCCAGTTGTGGCATTTAGGTCACCACAGACTAGTACATGTCCCTGGGCCTGGAAATTGTTGACACCCCTTCTAGGATGGAGAAGCTGTCATTGTTAAAGTATAGGGATTCTATTGGGGGGATATAGGTAGCACACGAGGACATTTTTCTCTGTTTAGATAATTTCCTTATTAATTTCTGGTCAGATGTAAAATGTTCCTGTTTTGACTATTTTAATAGAGTGAGTTAGGTTTGCTCTATACCAAATTAGCATACCCCCTGAGTCCCTTCCCTGTTTCACACCTGGTAGTTTGGTGGATGGGACTACCAGCTCTCTGTAACCTAGAGGGCAACCAGTGGGTCCGTCTCCTCTATACCATGTTTCTTCTAGGATGACAATGTCTTTATTTCCAATTTCATTGATGAAGTCCAGGTTCCTGCTCTTTAGGCCAAAGGCAGATGACCTCAGGCCTTGGATATTCCAGGATGAAATAGTGAAGGCTTTGTGTTCCATAGTGTCTGGTGTTGTTTAGGCCCGGACCATCACAGTAGGTGTGAGCAGAGCATGTTGAGCATCTGATACATACCTCTTAGGATGGGTCTCTCCCTCTCTCTCTCTCTCCCTATCTCCCTCTCTCTGTGCATGCTGGGAGTCTTTTGGAGTTTGAGAGTTCGTGTGGAGGGCTCTATCCTAACTTATTTTCTTGAATCTTTCCTTGGTCTTTTCTTTTCATTTGTTATTTTCTATGGTGGAGGGTTAATGCACTGTTTGTTTTAGCGGTACCCACTGTTTTTCTTACAAAGTTAGGGAGAAAGAGGACAGAGTTTTAGTTTCCTGGGATTTTGAACGGTGTGGTGTGCGCGGAGGAGACGCTGTCGTTACGGCATGGATTCAGGTCTGTTCCTGAGAATGGAATTCAGGTGAAGGAGGTTCTGCTCGCAGTCGGCCAACAGGTAGCAGCTGAATTTATACATTCCGCTACCAGAATGGACAAAGCTGTGGTTGTGTTCATGAAAAGAGTAAATTTGGTGGGAAGGCTCATTGCTTGTGGAATATTTGTAAGGGGTGTGTTGGATGCCAATTTCTCCTCTTTCTACCTCTTCGACTAGGGTGGTAGTTGGAAATTTGCCTCTGTTTATTACGGATGATCAAATCAGGAAATAGCTGAGTCGTTTTGGTAAGTTTGCTAGCGGTTTTCGTGTACTGTCGGCAGGTTTTCAGGCAGATGCCGTCAAGCATGTTGTTTCGTTCCAGAGGCAAGTGTTCATGTTTCTGAATAACAATGAGCAACAGTTAAATGTGCATTTTAAAGTGAGGCATGGGGAGGGGCTCTATGCGGCATTTGCCAGCACATATAGTCTACGGTGCTTTGAGTGTGGGGATTTGGGGCATAAGAGCTTTGCGTGCCCACATAAAGGCCGTAGACAAGGTGAGGGTTCAAGCGCCAGTGGGTGAATATGTAAAACAAAAAAACGTACAGGTGTTGTTTCTGCAGGAGACGCATAGTGATGTGGTGAATGAAGTTGATTGGGGGCTCTGGTGGAAAGGGGCAAGTGTGCTGAGCAATGGGACAAATGTTAGTGCAGGGTTGGCAGTCCTTTTTGCACCAGGTCGTAAAAATGTGCTCCTCAAAGGAGGTGTGTAGTGGTAGACTGCTTGTAGTAAAAGCAGAAATTAACTTCCTGGGGTTTTGTCCTTATAAATGTGTATGCGCCTAACACAGGTGTGTCTTGGACAGGAACTCTCACAGGCAGCGACTGGAACTGTACGATTGATTTTACGAAAGTCCGAAATGGGGAGGAGCCTCATTAGGGGTGATAAGGGACATCATTAATCAGTTTGACCTAGTGGATGTTTGGAGAACTAGACATCCCAACACAAGACAGTACACATGGGTGAAGGTCTTTGGGGCTAGGGTGAGTGCAGCCCGGCTTGATCGATTGTACAGGAATCAGAGCAATAGGCTGTTTGGCGCTACCATTCTCCCGGTGGGTTTTTCGTATCACCACATAACCATGGCTCGGCTGTCTATTTCACCAGGGCCTCGGTAGGCATCCTATTGGAAGTTTAATGTAAAGCTCTTACAAGATGCCACTTTTTGGTCAGTTTTCCAGACTTTTTGGGAAAGGTGGGGGAGCGAAGAGAGGAGTATGAGTCTCTGAGTCAATGGTGGGATGTGGGAAAAGTCCAAATTCGGCTTTTCTGTCAACAGTATACAGCTCTCTCATCCTCAGAGGCTAGGAGAGTATCGGGGGAACTCGAGCGTAGTATTAGTGAGATGGAGGTAGAGCTGTTGGGGCAAGGCAATGTAGGCCTCCAGGCTAATTTAGCTGAACTACGGAGGGACCAGGGCAGTTTTTCCAGGTTAAAGCAAAGGGAGCACTTGTAAGAGCTAGGTTATCCATGCTCAAGGGGATGGATGCTCCCAGCTCCTTCTTCTTTGGTTTGGAAAGACAGAGTGGTGAAGCCAAGGGTATGCATTGTCTACGGCTGTCGGATGGGCAGGTGACCTCTGTGGTGGGGGAGATGCGGGAGCGGACCGTGGAGTTTTATACTGAGTTGTATATGGCAGAACTGTGTGATCCTATGTGTGCTCAGGTTTTGTTTGCAGAACTCCCTAAGTTCTCTCTGGCACAGAAGGATGAAATGGACATTCCCCTGTTGTCCCATGAACTGGCAAAGGCCGTAACCCAGATATCCCCCAGCCGTGCACCGGGGGTCGATGGACTCACAGTGGAGTTTTATAAAAAATTCTGTGGGAATAATTGGTATGGACCTCTTTTGCATGTTGCGTGAGTGCATTGGGGTAGGAGAGTTGCCGATGAGCTGCCGTCGGGCGGCTCTGACTCTCCTGCCCAAAAAAGGGGACTTAAGAACTGGAGGCTCTGTTTGGACTACAAGATCTTTGCCAAGGTACTCGCTAGCAGACTGAAGTCCCATCTGGACTCTATAGTACACCAGGACCAGACATATTGTGTACCGGGACGCTCAATCACGGACAACTTGTTCTTAAATCAGGGACATGTTGGACTTGTCTCGAGGTTCTAATGTGAACTTTGGACTGGTCTCTTTAGACCAAGAGAAAGCTTTTTGATAGAGTGGACCATGAGTATCTGTTTAATGTGATGTCTGTGTTTGGGGAAAGGTTTTAGGCCTGTGTGAAGATGTTGTATGCTGGGGCATCATGTATGGTCAAGGTGGGAGGGGGGCTCAGTAGGCTAGTCTGGGTGAGGCGGGGCATTAGACAAGGATGCCCTCTATCAGGGCAGTTATATACACTAGCCATTGAGCCTTTTTTGGGCCTGATATGCAGGAGACTGCAGGGAGTCTGCTGGACAGGCATGGGTGTGTTGACAGGCATAACAGTGTCGGCGTATGCAGATGACGTTTCTATGATGGGCAGGATATGCAGGTACTAGAGACTAGTCTGAAGGTACGAGGGAGCTTCGTCAGCTAACGTGAACTGGGGCAAGAGCAAAGCTCTGTTATGTGGGGCATGGTTCCAGGGGGTTTGCAGTGGGGTTGTGAAGGGCTTAACATTTTGGGCGTGTACCTGGGCTCGGAGAGGTGGGTCAGGAAGAACTGGGAGGGGATGTTACAGGCAGTGGTGCCAAGACTGGCCAGGTGGAGGTGGCTCCTGTCCCAAGTGTCATATAGAGGGAGGGTGCTGATAATCAACAACCTGGTGGCATCTTCCCTGTGGCATAAACTGGCCGTCCTCACCCTCGTCAGATTTTAACACTGAGCCTGGGGGAGTTTGAAGGGGTGGGAGGTAAAGCCTTCTACAACCTCGGTAAAAATCTGAGCCTAACAGGAGTGAAGGCACATCAGTGGCAGGGGGTATGTGGGGGCGGAGAGTATGGTGGGTTTTTAGATGGAGGGGGCTCTAAAAACTCCCAGTACCAAAGAGGTCAGGGGACGTCCAGCGGAGGGTTCTACATGGAGCCCTGGCCACTAACAGCTGGTTGGCACGGGTCGACCCGGGAGTCGGACAGGGGTGTCCTTTCTGTGGCGGCAGGTAGCTTAGTGGTTAAGAGCGTTGTGCCAGTAAGCGAAAGGTCGCTGGTTCAAATCCCCGAGCCGACTAGGTGAAAAATCTGTTGATGTGCCCTTGAGCAAGGCACTTAACCCTAATTGCTCCTGTAAGTCGCTCTGGATAAGAGCGTCTGCTAAATGACTAAAAATGTTTTTTTTTTTATGTGTGATGAGTGAAACTGTGATTCATGTGTTTTTTTCTGTGTGCGCCAGGTTAATGCCTTTAATGTCTCAGTTGGAATGTCTGTGAGAGGTTTGGGGGGTGAAGTTTATTGTCTGGATGTTTATAATGGGGTACAGGTATTCAAATAAGGAAAAGGCCAAATGTGTGTTGAATTTTCTGTTTGCTCAGGCAAAGTTGGCTATTTGGCTAACAAGGAGGAACAGGGTCAAAGGTGGGGGGATAACAGACCCTTTACTATTATTTAATGGGATGGTCTCTGCGCGCCTTAGGGTGGAATTTGAGTTCTATAAAATGATAAAAAGTGTGGAGATGTTTCAGGAGATATGGCTTGTCGGGGGGGCTGTCTGTATAGCTGGGGAAGATAGGTTGGATATACGGTTGTAGAGGTGGTGAGGTTTTGGTTATTGTGATGTTGTGTTGTTTTTGTATCGTGGGGTAGAGGGCAAGGTGAGTATGCAGTAAAAGGGATATATATATATTTTTTTAAGGGGGGTGGTGGTGGTGAGGATTTAATTAAATGAGAATGTATCATTAAGTATCTCTCTCTCTTCCCCCTCTACCCTAAGGTGTCTCTGTCTCTCTCTCTACTATATAAACCCTAAGGTGTCTCTGTCTCTCTCTCTACTATATAAACCCTAAGGTGTCTCTGTCTCTCTCTCTACTATATAAACCCTAAGGTGTCTCTCTCTAGCTTCCTATTGGTTAACAGCGTGGCGTTGCATGGTGACGGCTGTCCTATCTGCCAATCAGTGGAGAAACAGCTGTACACACACTCTAGGGACCTCAACTGTTCACTTCTACAGGTGGTTCCTCTACCATACACACACACACGCACACACACACACACACACAATCCAAGGACCTCAACTGTTCACTACAGGTAGGCACGTCCTCTGCCACACACGTTATGGAGTCCTTCTGACACGCCTGTTGTGTTTTGCTATCTGACAGAATTCCCAGTCCAGCGAATTCTGTCGAGACGCATGGACCTACCCTCCTACACCACCCATTATCCTGCAGGTAGATATCCGCTCTTTATTACATGGTAATAACCACTATTACATGGTAATAACCACTATTACATGGTAATAACCACTATCACATGGTAATAACCACTATTACATGGTAATAACCACTATCACATGGTAAAAACCACACAGTGTAATCATAACAGGTAATGAAAGGTAGAAGAGCTAGTTTTAATAATAAATAAGTATTTTTTAGTATTTTTTCTTGCATTGTTCTCAAAGAGTTGCTGAATTTCTTTTCACATTTCTAGTTTGCTCCTCTGTCCACGTGGCTTGATTGGAAAGCAAGGAATACTTACAGTATTCCAACAGCATACTTCTACCTCTGTCTGTCTGTCTCTCAGCATTACCCTCTGTACCGGGAGAGCGATGCGGGCTGTACGGGTCGGGACGCTGCTCCTTCTGAAGAGCGCCACCTGCTGTTCAGAGAGAAGTACGACGCGCTGTCTCGGGAGGCCTCTCACAGGGTACGTGGACCCATGACAGACTGGTCCCAGATCAGTTTGTGCTCTCGCCAACTCAATTGCTGTCATTGTCAAGCCCAGCATGTTTTGTATGACAACGAGTGACACGTAGTTAGCACAACATTTGGTTTGGTCCGTCAGTAGTAGAATACACAACAGTCAATCAATTATCCCATGTCAGATAACATTTTATAGATTGCTATCATGGCTGAATTATTGACCGGGCACCCAAGGCATGTGTCCAGGGGCTCTGACCTCCAGGGGGCTCTGACCTCCAGGGGCTCTGACCTCCAGGGGCCCTGACCTCCAGGGGCCCTGACCTCCAGGGGCTCTGACCTCCAGGGGCTCTGACCTCCAGGGGCTCTGACCTCCAGGGGCTCTGACCTCCAGGGGGCTCTGACCTCCAGGGGGCTCTGACCTCCAGGGGCTCTGACCTCCAGGGGCTCTGACCTCCAGGGGCTCTACCTCCATGGCTCTGACCCCAGGGTCTGACTCCAGGGCTTCTACCTCCAGGGGTCTCTGACCTCCAGGGCTCTGAACTCAGGGCTCTCCTCCAGGCTCTACCTCCAGGGGCTTGACCTCAGGGCTTGACCTCCAGAGGTTTTGACCTTCCAGCCGCTTGACTCCGGGGCCCCTGTCATTGTTAGTCCGCTCTCCTCAGTAATGAACCATGGATAGTCATGCTTGTAGACGCAGTAATAGCATTAAAACTGCAAATTTTCTTCTACTGCCCATGGCAATGGATGTCTACATACACCTATTGTCTTGAATGGATTCTATCCAGTGATGACCGGATGTGTCCTGACATGTCTTCCACTAGACCAGTGATGGTCCTGGATGTCTTCCACTAGACCCAGTGATGGTCTGGATGTCTTCCACTAGACCCAGTGATGGTCCTGGATGTCTTCCACTAGACCAGTGATGGTCCTGGATGTCTTCCACTAGACCCAGTGATGGTCCTGGATGTCTATGATGTGGACAGTGGTCATCATGCTGCTGTCATTGACCTTTCACCAACAGAGCTTGCTTCTTCCCTTCCCCCAGCTGTTGCAGTGGTTTAAGCCCCGCCTGGTTCTCAGTGGCCACACCCACAGCGGCTGTCAGGTTCTCCATGACAACCAGTACCCAGAGATCAGTGTTCCGTCCTTCAACTGGAGGAACCGCAACAACCCCAGTTTTATCCTGGTAAGTCACTCAATCAGTAATAAATCCTCTCCTCTGGGACTCCCAAAAACGTTTCACAATTGTGTTGTAGCCCTGAACTAGCTCCCCTGATTAACCTAGTCAAGGACTTGATGATTAGTTGACAAGTTGAATCAGCTGTGCAATAGATCAAACTAACTATTCCCCAACTCTGATGTTACCTTGATACCTCTTAACGTAAACAGAGCTGTTTTGTGCTTTAACCTTATCCTGTGCATTCGGAAAGTATTCAGACACCTGGACTTTTTCCACATTTTGTTACGTTACAGCCTTATCAATCTACACACAATACCCTATAATGACAAAGCAAAAACTGGTTTTTATTTTTTTAGAAAAAAAAAAAAATAAAAACATATAACATTTACATAAGTATTCAGACCCTTTACTCAGTACTTTGTTGAAGCACCTTTGGCAGCGATTGCAGCCTCGAGTCTTCTTCGGTATGACGCTACAAGCTTGGCACACCTGTATTTGGGGAGTTTCTCCCATTCTTCTCTGCAGATCCTCTCCAGCTCTGTCAGGTTGGATGTGGAGCGTCGCTGCACAGCTATTTTCAGGTCTCTCCAGAGATGTTAGATCGGTTTCAAGTCCGGGCTCTGGCTGGGCCACTCAAGGACATTCAGAGACTCCTGCTTAGGGTTGTTGTCCTGTTGGAAGGTGAACCTTCGCCCCAGTCTGAGGTCCTGAGCGCTCTGAAGCAGGTTTTCATCAAGGATCTCTCTGTACTTTGCTCCGTTCATCTTTGCCTCGATCCTGACTAATCTCCCAGTCCCTGCTGCTGAAAAACATCCACACAGCATGATGCTGCCACCACCATGCTTCACCGTAGGGATGGTGCCAGGTTTCCTCCAGACGTGACGCTTGGCATTCAGGACAAAGAGTTCAATCTTGGTTTCATCAGACCAGAGAATCTTGTTTCTCATGGTCTGAGAGTCCTTTAGGTGCCTTTTGGCAAACTCCAAGCGGGCTGTCATGTGCTTTTTACTGATGAGTGGCTTCCATCTGGCCACTCTACCATAAAGGTCTGATTGGTGGAGTGCTGCAGAGATGGTTGTCCTTCTGGAAGGTTCTACCATCTCCACAGAGGAACTCTAGAGCTCTGTCAGAGTCACCATCGGGTTCTTGGTCACCTCCCTGACCAAGACCCTTCTACCCCATTTGCTCAGTTTGGTCGAGCGGCCAGCTCTAGGAAGAGTCTTGGTGGTTCCAAACTTCTTCTATTTAAAAATGATGGAGGCCACTGTGTTCTTGGGGACCTTCAATAATGCAGAATTGTTTTGGTACCCTTCCCCAGATCTGTGCCTCGACACAATCCTGTCTCGGAGCTCTACGGACAATTCCTTCGACCTCATGGCTTGGTTTTTGCTCTGACATGCACTGTCAACTGTGGGATCTTATATAGACAGGTGTGTGCCTTTCCAAGTCATGTCCAATCAATTGAACTTACCACAGGTGGAATCCAGTCAAGTTGTAGAAACATCTCAAGGATGATCAATGGAAACAAGATGCACCTGAGCTCAATTTCGAGTCTCATAGCAAAGGGTCTGAATACTTATGTAAATACGTATTTGTATTTGTATTTTTGTATATACATTTGCAAAAATGTATAAAAACCTGTTTTCGCTTTGTCATTATGGGGTATTGTGTGTAGAATTAGGAAAATAATTTATTTAATCAATTTTAGAATAAGGCTGTAACGTAACAAAATGTGGAAAAAGGGAAGGGGTCTGAATACTTTCCGAATGCACTGTATGCCTTTGACAGAATACAGTTGAAGTCGGAAGTTTATATACACTTAGGTTGGAGTCATTAAAACTTGTTTTTCAACCACTCCACAAATTTCTTGTTAACAAACTATAGTTTTGGCAAGTCGGTTAGGACATCTACTTTGTGCATGACACAAGTAATTTTTCCAACAACTGTTTACAGACAGATTATTTCACTTATAATTCAAGGTATCACAATTCCAGTGGGTCAGAAGTTTACATACACTAAGTTGACTGTGCCTTTAAACAGCTTGGAAAATTCCAGAAAATTATGTAATGGCTTTAGAAGCTTCTGATAGGCTAATTGACATCATTTGAGTCAATTGGAGGTGTACCTGTGGATGTATTTCAAGGCCTACCTTCAAACTCTGTCCCTCTTTGCGTGACATCATGGGAAAATGAAAAGAAATCAGCCAAGACCTCGGAAAAAATGGTAGACCTCTACAAGTCTGGTTCATCCTTGGGAGAAATGTCCAAATGCCTGAAGGTACCACGTTCATCTGTACAAACAATAGTACGCAAGTATATACACCATGGGACCACGCAGCCATCATACCGCTCAGGAAGGAGACGCGTTCTGTTTCCTAGAGATGAACGTACTTTAGTGCGAAAAGTGCAAATCAATCCCAGAACAACAGCAAAAGGACCTTGTGAAGATGCTGGAGGAAACAGGTACAAAAGTATCTATATCCACAGTAAAACGAGTCCTATATCGACATAACCTGAAAGGCCACTCAGCAAGGAAGAAGCCACTGCTCCAAAACCGCCATAAAAAAGCCAGACTACGGTTTGCAACAGCACATGGGGACAAAGATCGTACTTTTTGGAGAAATGTCCTCTGGTCTGATTAAACAAAAATAGAACTGTTTGGCCATAATTACCATCGTTATGTTTGGAGGAAAAAGGGGGGGCTTGCAAGCCATAGAACACCATCCCAACCGTGAAGCACGGGGGTGGCAGCATCATGCTGTGGGGGTGCTTTGCTGCAGGAGGGACTGGTGCACTTCACAAAATAGAATCATGAGGAAGGAAAATTATGTGGAAATATTGAAGCAACATCTCAAGACATCAGTCAGGAAGTTAAAGCTTGGTCGCAAATGGGCCTCCATTTACATTTACATTTTAGTCATTTAGCAGACGCTCTTATCCAGAGCGACTTACAGTTAGTGAGTGCATACATTTTTCATACTGGCCCCCCGGGGAAACGAACCCACAACCCTGGCGTTGCAAGCGCCATGCTCTACCAACTGAGCTACAGGGGACCTCTAGCCAGACAAACCTAGCTTATAAAGTAAAGTCTTATGGCTTTAGATTCTCCTTAAGTAGGTACATAAAAGTGTTCTAACAATAATATTAAATTGCCCTCAAGTACAATCAGTATCTTAAACCTATCAGCAAATTAAGCTAATGCTAGCACATACAACAAAGGCCACATATTCCTTTAATCAAAGCATTAATTGGCACCTCTGACTCATTGTTTTTCATAGCAGTCCTGGGTTATATTAATTAGGGCACACAACAGAACACATTTTTAAAGCGCTTTGAAACAGAAAACGAAAATGAGCGTTCTTCCAAATGGACAATGACCCCAAGCATACTTCCAAAGTTGTAGCAACATGGCTTAAGGA